TTCATATCGTCAGCAGGCATATATGATTTTTACATACTGCCGCGCGAATGGTAATGGACTTGAAACTACATGGCTTTATCAGATTGCGTTTCCAGACCAAAGGCAGCCAAGTCATCCAACCTTTGCTGCTGTATACCGTCGCGTTGCTGAGACAGGATCCGTGGCACCACAAACTATGGATCGAGGGAGAACGAGATCCGCTAGCACGCCTGACCACGAGGAACATATTCTACGGCTGTCGGAAACGATCCAAGGATTAATACACATCAAGTGGCACTAGCATGTGGTATATCTCATAGAACTACATGGAAGTTACTTCAAGAACAGCTTCTTTATCCGTATCATTTGCAACGTATGCAGGACCTTTCGCTTTCTGATCAGTCATCACGGAAAATCTTTTGCCGATGGTTTATTGCACAAACTGGCGATCCATTTTTTTTTTTGGGGGGGGGTCTCTTCAGTCTTGTTTCCGGATGAGGCAACATTTGGAAGAGATGAAATAACAAATTTACACAAGCAACACCTGTGGGTGGATTAGAATCCCCGTGGTACAATACAGACTAGACACCAGCATCAGTTTACGATTAATGTGTGGGCTGGAATTGTAGCTGATTGTCTGGTAGGTCCATATGTCTTTCAGGAGCTGTCTACAGGGATTTTATTTCGAACACACTTCCAGAACTGCTACAGGATGTACCCCTATTAATACGAAGACACATGTGGTTCATGTATGATGGGGTTCTAGCACATTTTAGTCACATTGTTCGCTTTGCACTTACTGACATTTACCATGAAAGATAGGTAGGTAAGAGAGGACTGATTCCATGGCCTGCCCGTTCCCCCGACCTCAATCCTTTGGATTTTTATCTGTGGGGCCACCTAAAACAATTGATTTATGCAGCAGACAGTAATAATGCAAATGCGCTTCATTAATGTGTCATGGGATCTGCAAATGCATTCAATACGGTTGGGGAGTATTTGAAAGAGTCCGCCAGTCAATGATTCGACGGGTACATTTTGCAGAAGTAAGAGAATGAGAATTTGAAAATTTGTTATGAGTTGCTGTGTTTTCACAGAGGATAAAATATTTGGGGGTGAAAAATTCATCTGTTATTTTAATCATAAACTTAACTCGGAACAGTGTTCTTGCAGAATAGAAATATTCGCGTAACAAATAGTATTGTTGAATTTGTATCAATCTTTCCAAACTTGTTATTTCTCATTTAAATTGTTTTTTTGTTTTGTTTTTTTTTTATCCAATGTCAACATTAGAGAAAAAAAAACAGTTAAATCATTTTTTTGGCGGGGTGGGTGCTATTCATTTTATTCTAACGTATACAACGTATACAAACATAAGGAGTTTTATGCATTTTTTTCTACTTTTTTATTTATTTTTTAAGCGATTTCGCCACAAGCAAGTCAGTAAAGTCACTAAGACACAAAAAGTTACCAGGTAGAAGAATTATAAAACAGATAGCGATTGATATTGCATTTACATTTTTGAAGATTAAAGTTGGCTGGAATGCATGAAACCGGAAGAGACTTCCACAAGCGAGAAGTTTGAGAAAAGAAACAGCATAGACTTTACGGTTACATCTAACCAAATCAATTGTAAATTTATAAGACCTCGTCGCCAGTGTTAAATTCATAAAGTCAAGGTAACTTAGCGAAGAGCACATCCGAACAATTGATATAAAAGTATTTATAGAAAAGGCACAGGGAGACAACTATACTGCGCAGGGAAAGTAACTAAAGCCGAGATACCAGATCAGGACCAATAATATTGCTGATTCTTCTTTGGATTGTATCAAGGATATCTAGATATATAGCAGCAGCACCGGACTGTATGTGACAGTGAAACATGGAATGGTAGACTTATAGATATGCAAGATATATTTCGTAAAGAAAAATTGTCTAACACGGCACCGTGAACCATTTGACCTAGTAATGGATTCAATATAGTCTTTCCCCTTCATGTCAGCCGAGAACGTTAGCCTGAGAAGGCGCAATGAGACACTCTCCGGGAGATTAGCATCATCTCGGATGATTAATAGAAAGCAGTTTAGTTCTGGAGGTGTTAAAACCCATTCTTTGCCCCAGTTAACAACGAATTTGACCACATCGAAGTGATCAGACTTACTATCGCGTAAGAATAAATGGTCGTGTTATCAAGATAGATATGAAGTTGCGAGCTGATGTCATCGGGAAGATCATAAATGAAAATTTAAAACAAAGTAGGACCAAGGATAGAGCTCTGGGTGACACTTGGGTGACACCTGGGTGACAAAACGAGCTAGAAGAATGGCCGTTAATAGTAACTTTCATTTCAAGATTTGATAAAAAAAAAACGACTAGCTCAATTCAAAAATTTGCCTGAAGACACCGTAACTTTTTAACTTGTGAAGAAGACCTTTATGCCAAACCCTGTCGAAATCTTTCGAAATGTCCAAAGCAGCAGCCCGATGGAACTAATACGTCGTAGAACTCTTTCACGGCGAAAGAGCACTTGGCAATACAGATAATTTTCGAAGGACCAGAAATATTAAAATCTGAAGGGAAATCAGCAGTGTCCAAACTGAACAGAAATAAAGCAGCAGGACCAGACGGAATTGTAGTAGAGATGCTGCCAGCCTTAGAGGATTTCGGCATTGACAAGATTAAAGACATAAATGAAATGTACAACAGTGGTGATATACCGGAAGATCTAAGTAGATCCATTTTCATAAGACTGCGTAAGAAACCAGATGTAAATAAATGTGAACTCCATTGTACAATCAACCTAATGAGTCGCATAACAAAACTTATCATCCGAATTCTGATGAATAAAGGACTATTAAACCGGAAAAGAGACAAGTACAGTGCGGGAAGAAGGAATGTGATATGTATGCTCAAAATGATATCAGAAAGAGCAATACAAACGCAAAAGGACGGGCACCTATGTTTTATAGATTATGCAAAAGTGTTGGATAAAAGTACTTCACAAAGAATTACTGGAAATGCTACGTATTCTTGACATATTTGGAAAGGATATTCGAATAATAAAGAACCTATACTGCCAGCAAACCGCCTGATTAAGGATAGAAAAGAAATTCGGTAAATATACAAAAATTAAAAGGAGTATAAGACAAGGGTGTGTCTTCTTACCGGACTTATTCAATCTATCCAATGAGGCGATTCTGATAGAATTAGAAGCCTTACCAGGAGTCATTATTGGTGGCCACAATCTTAACATATGAAGATGGCGTAGCGTTGATAACACACCGAAAAGAAAGAAGAACTCCTAAAGAAGGTAGTGAAAAAAAGCGAGAAGAAATGGCTAAACATCAATTGCAATAAAATAGGATGCATGGGAGTTAGTGAATGCGGGACAATCTCCTCACAGATGAAGAGACCTGAAGCAGCAGAAATGTGGTTCTACAGAAGAATACCATGAACCGAATATGTGAGCAACTATAAAGTTTTAGAGAAAACAGACACTCAACATTAGAAAGAGATAGTTGAAATTTCCTAGGGCACAAAATGAGGAAAGAGAGCTTGGAAAATTTGATACTCACAGAACAAAATAAAATGACGCATAACCTACCTAACTGAGCTTTAGTAAATGAATGGCAGAACTGGGTTTGGGAGACAAAATTTATTATGAGCTACAAAGATCAGGAAATTGTGGAGAACCATGATCATCAACGTCTTACGTGGACACGGTACATAGAAGAAACATAACTCTATTCCTATGCAGAATCGAATGATATTGAAATGGTGGGTCAGAGATCTATCATGGTATTCGTATACTTGACCTCGGCTTATCATAGAAACGCGTTTATTCGACGAAATCTGAAACCCGAAGTGCTGGAAAATAATGGTGTCATATACTTGCTGTCAAAACTTGAAATCATTCCTTAGCCAGATTCAGCCCACAGCTTCGCGGTCTGTCTCTAATTTTCATTCAGATCAAAGTCTTGTTTTCCTTTTCCTCGGGGAAATGTTACGTTTAGACGAAAGCCAGACAATTTCCCCCCGAAAAGGTGACAGCAATTACTAGATAACTCCTACTGTTAATTCCAAAGAAAACGTTCTAAAACATTGCAGAAAAAAAAGTTAATACTGTTTGACATCATAGCTTTCTTGAATACATCATATTAGATGTGAAAAATGTATAACATCAAAGCCGAAACTTCTTCAGCTGTCGACTCTGATTCACTTTGTATAGTTCGATATTAAACATTATCTTTATCTCTGATGGGCTACTGTGACATTTTATTGATCTTGAAATGGTATCTAGATTTCATTAACAGTATTTTGAGCCCCATTCTGTGTCTGCATTGCTAAAATTCAATAAATTTCTTAAGTAATGGATTCACTCCAAAACAGCTGGAGTGATTTTGATAAAATTTTATAAATTTATAAAAATTTCTATAAGTAAAGCTTTTTCGTTGTTTGTGGTAAAAGAAAAAGCAGCAAAAAAAAGCAAAATCTTAGTTTTGATTTTCAAATTTTACTTGGGTTTTTTTTTTTGTTTTTTTTTTTTGTTTTTTTGCACTAGCATATACTCTTATTCTCAAACATTTTTCGAACTGTGACTTATCCTTTCTTTTTCTCAAATGATTTTCAGCATCATGAAATTAATCATTATCTAATCTAGCAACGAAATCTGTACTTTTCAATGCTTTTAGTATTAAGTTACAACTATGGTAATATTTGTGAAAGACTTGTGTTACAGAGAGTAACCTTGAAATTCTATCAAATATAAATTCGGTTTAATGAAGGCCACAAAAGGTAACATGTTATTGCAATGTCTACCTCGCTTCAAACGGAGTTCTATCTACAGCAGTAAATGATAAAGATGACACTGCTTTAGGTTTGGTTTTATTTGTACACCATAGTTATAAGCTACAAAATGTTTGATAGATGAATCAGGAATTAATTTCTCAATCCAATGGCATTAAACGATTATTAAACTCGTTTTTAATTTCAATTCGGATTAAAGTCATCATCGACTTAAGGCCACATCACGATAAAACACCAGTTCCCTTACGATCACCGAAAATAAGCAACGTCGAACCTGGTCACTACCTAGATGGGTGACCGCTTGAGAATAGCAAGTGCTGTAAACTTAGATGTACGGTTGGTTTAATGACTCGGAATTTTTAATCGGAGTTCCAATTCTAGTTGGCTTCGTTATATTCACTTGCGCGCAAATTCCATTGGGAAAGGTAGGAATCTTCCTCCCCCGCCCAGCTATAGGTTAATTAGTAAGAATTGTATAATTAAATCATTATCTTCCAAAAATATTCTTGCAATATTAATGGAACGTTACTAGTTTGGTTTTTGAAGCCGCGAATGTGACTGAGCTGTTAGAGCTAGGTCAGAGAGAAGATCAGCTGCCAAACTCTGGTCGTCTGAGTTTTGGAAGTGAACCAATATACCGTCGTATCATCAGCATAACTGTAACGTAATCTTATAAGGTTTCAGTTTAGAGATACGTCAACGGCAAATTGTGTTATCCTACTAATGCCCCCCCCCCGTCCTAGAAAATTATAATTAATATCGGATTTTACGATTGGTATTAATGGGATAATATAAAGTGTGTTGGTATATTGTTCCTGAAGTGGTGATATTCATTGACAAAGCCTTTTATGGTAGAATAAAAACATTGAAAACGAGGCTGATCTATCGCTCTTTACAAATAGTCACAGTAGAAAACGCTAAGAAATGTCTAACTTACGTTTCAAGACCCAACCAGTATAAGCGTATGTATGAATTTTAAGAAAGAAATTCTGTGGAGTGGGTATATGGTTGAGTTTGTTATTGTATGGCATGCTGTGTGTTTCTATCAAGATCATTCTCTCTAACGTTCGATATTTACTTAGCAGTAGAACATCTAGTGATCATCAAACTCACCACACAATTATCTTAGAGCGGTGCAATGGATAGTGGCTTGGAATGAGAGATCGGAGAGCCGAGTTTGAATTCTAGTCGGATTCGTTACATTCACTTACACGGAGATATGAATCTTCTCACCCCCCAGCTACGGGTTAAGCAGTAAAATTGGTATCTGAAAGAAATGTTTTTATTCTTAAAACAATTGTTAATACAATATTAACTTGCAAAAATTATTCCTGCAATCCAGAATGTTTCGGACTTAAACAACCCACGACGGTTTGATAAGCCATAAAAAAAAATCAATACTAATAATCACGCTACTGTAAGCGCCCGATCTGTGACTGCATATTTAAATATATCTAGCTCGTAAACATACGTCCATGAATATCTAATTATTAAATACGATTTTCATCTGATATTTTTAATAAATAATTATTCATAGAACTCGTTTTGCATTTTTACTTTTTGTTTTGCTTTTTTTCAAAATCTGAGAACTAAATTTTCTTCCTCCAGGCGGTTAGAATTTTAATATATAAAATTTCAATTTATATACTTTACAGATTTTCAACAACAGAAGCGACTATAATCATATATTTAGTAAATTTACATTAGTCTGTCATAGGGCGAAAGAATAGAGGATTATTAAACTCGACCAAATAAACTTGAAAATATATAATAAGGTTCAAACAGTAATATTCCATGGCCTACCTGGATTCTATCCCCTTGGAAATTTGGTATATATATATATATATATATATATATATATATATATAATTAATATTTTATATATATATCCATGAAATTTGAATAAGCTGATTTGTTTGACAAAAACCCTACTTCGCAATTTAATAATTTCTTTAATTTAATTTTATAGTACTTCATTGCAAACAATATTTTTCAAGAACATTTCTCTTTTTTTAACCTTTTTTCCTTTTTCACAGCGAAGAATAAATTCTTAGGATTTCTTACTCTCGGGCATGCAACACACAACTGGCCACGCGTAAATATTTCTTTTGGAGACAAATTCTAACTTTTTACAGCGTTTGGCATTGTGATTTGTTTTTAGTTCTCGCAAATGAAAAGCGAACTGGAAATTGGGTTCTCATATATAAAACTCAAAAGATATGTAAAAAAAACTATGTTGCATTTTTATTAAATAAGTATGTGTTATCTTAATAATTATTTTTTAAATAGAGTATTTTGTATGTTAAATAATAAAACTTTTAATTTTTCCAAAAATAATAAGGAAAATTTATTGTACTAAACTACGCGCCCTAATAAAACCAAATGTACTTTGTATCCCCTTATCTATTTGTACTTCTCCCCAAAATTTGATTTCGATCGGTCAACATATTGCTATTTTAGTGGGGGTCATGGACGAACTAACGGAATTCACAGAATATATATATATATATATATATATATATTCTAATGAGAATTCAGTTCAAACATGACACTCGGCAAAGAAACTGTAAAATATATTATACGATGCGATTGACTATAAAGAGAATGAGCACAACAAACAAAACTACAGTTTATTGAAGTGTGGTTTGCTGACACGTTGTTGTCGATGAGAAACAAAGTAACACTAGAAAAAGTCAGAAGCAAGAGATACGTTCAAAGTCATTAGATGAAGTTTTCACCCATTTTCGCTCTGTCATCTATAGAATAGCGTTAAGTTTCGCACACTGACAAGTAAAATTGTTGAAAAATAAATGTTGTGTAAAGCAAACGTTTCCCTCCACTTTTTCTTCTTTCTTATTATCGATGAATTTACGTATAAACATTTACTGGATTAGTTACGCGCTCTATCACAAATACAATATATATACATATATATATATAAATACATATGACTTATTTAAAGATAGATACATATTATTGCTGCCTCTAAAACGGATGCATCGTCATCAATGAAAGACACAGTTCAAGAAGTAAGTTGCGTATCGGGGACGTCAACATGAAGCAGGTGTAAAAATTCTATGGGTAAGAAAGTGGAACATAAATTTGAAGTCGTAGCAAGTTTTTCAAAAACTAAAAATACATGTTGAAACCTATCTTCAGAAATAAAAATCGCCATGCAGTGTTAAATCTCTTACATCATAATTAATGCGAGACAATTTCTTTAAAAATGAAAAGAATTGAAGTGACTGAGAGATGGTTCGCTTGATGAATGCTTCGAATACTGGGAACAGAGTACGTGTGAAGCGGGTTTTTTTTATGTTAGTGGGAACTACAAAGAAATTGCTGATAACAATCGGAAAAGGAAAGCTGAAATGTTCGTGATAAATAAGGAAAGAAGTCCTAGAGAATTTATTTCTCACGGGGCATGTCGAAAGCAAGAGAAGCAGCGGCAAGCAACAACAAAACCTTGACAAGTTTGGGCAAATAGAAAGTCGAATGAGTACCACAAAGAAATCGTTTGCAAAAGAGGAAATATTACTGAAAGAAAACAAGTTAATGCGGAAAGCCATAATCGCCTACGTATATAAAGGAATTTGAGACACACACACTGCTAGCCAATCGCTGTTGCTCAGGTATATTTGTGTTTACCTGTTGTTTAGTCAGCAAATGTATTGAGCGAACCTTATTTACAGTTTCTGGGAGAGAGAGCGCCATCTGCTATCAATCCATCGATGGTTGTTCTAACACGAAATCACAAGTCATCGCAACCGAGAGTTTAAGCATATTAGCGTTGTTCAAAACGCTGATTATGCACTGTAACAAAGGTCCACTTTGCATATTTGTAGTATAAACTACAAATGAGTTCTGAACAAACACAAAAGTGCCTGAGTAGGCGTCTGTGTACGGAAAACCTGAGCAGACAATCATTATATAGTTCGTCGAAGTTGTATGAGTTAGTTTTTGCAAGCAATTGCTAGTTTTAGGATGTCTCCTTTTTGTCTTCAAACTTTCTAATGTAAAAAGAAGTGTGACAACTTATTACTGCAACTATCTTATATAATTATGTCTTTCCTTGTATAGGTATCTGAAAAAGTACAATTTGAATACAAATCTGAAAATTTGTTTTGATTGTTCTGTATTCATTTCACTTATAAGTCAACAATTTGTCATTGAATATTGCTGGTCTGGTGCTTCTGATATGCATTTAGTGATTTTTGATAAAATCCAAAGAATATGTAATGATATCGATCTTGACCTGGCATCTCGGCTTCAGTCACTTTCCCATCGCCGTAGCGTATATTATCTAGGCTTGTTCCATAAATATTTTCATGGTGATTATTCTGATGAGCTTGTAGCGGACCGTTAGGGGTGGTGAGTATGTAAAACACATGTGGGTAGAATTTCCTGCTAGCCAGTCCAACTACATGAGAAAGTTGGACTTTAATTAAGTCCAAAGAAAACAAACAAGACCGATAAATATATGTAAACAAATATATGTATTAACAATAAGTACAAGTTACATGGACAGTTACATGGACAGAGTGCTTGTGGTGAATATTGTGTGTGTGTGTGTGTGTTGTGGTGAGTGTTCGTACGTACGTGTATTGTTCTTAGCGTGTTCCCAGAATTTGGGAAACGCTGTATCTGTGAGAGCTCACATCTTCGAGGTGGTATAAGGCAGAAGGCCTGAGAAAAAAGAGAAAGAGGCGACGGGTCAGCCAGTATTTATAGCCAGGGGAGAGCAGACCCCTGGTGAAGGGTTAAGGAGCTTAGGAGAAGCTAACTCCGACAAGCTTTCCTCTATGGTACATAGACTTCACGAATTTAAGCGCAGTACCAGGTCTCATCATTTTACCGTTGAAATGGCGAAATGTAACCATAAGTTCTATGCTAATAGTTTTTTTATTTCGCACTTCTCGTACGTAGGACTTTCTTTCGGTCTCATACTTTCCAGTCAACTTGGATCTTGAAAAATTTAGATGCAATATCAATCGTTACCGTATCTTCTAAATTCCTGTTCTTTTATTCCTCAATGTTTTCCTTTTCTCATATTATTTCACTCAGTAAACCCCTCACGTCTTAGTGGCTTTATTGCCTTATCTTCGGGGAAATGATTTTAAAAAATCATCATGTAAAATAGCATCAACAGTATAAAAAAGAGGAAAACCTTTGAAGAATCAGCTATTGCTCTGTATTTACTGGACATTTATCTGAACGACGTACTACATTATTAATTGATGATGGCGAAACTATGTAATTCAGAGCGTTACACTCGTAGCCTTCGAGGTTTGAACTGTCATTGGAAGAAGACTGTACATGACTG